AACAGGCAGAATGAGGTATAAACATTTATCTCTGTCTACATGTTCAGTATGTTTTTACAGTGTCCTAGCAGCCACAGGTCTTTCCCTTGTCTTTGTTTGAGGATCTGACACCGTACTTTGGTGCCGGTTACAATAACAAATTAGTCTTTGAAAGACTGCCTGTCGAAATGCAACAGAGAAATTAGCCTTATGGAGAGGTGTTAATTTTATTCCACTCAACAATTTGATACACATGCACGCACACACACACAGACACAGCGTTGCCATGCCAAGGATTTTTGACTCTGATTTGTTCAAGCCTTTTGAGAAATCTTCAAGTCGAGTGTCTCCGGTTTGTCTAAGGCTTTGTTATGATATGTGCTCAGGACAGACGTCTCCCTCTACAACACTGAACAACATTTCACTGAGTCACATAATGAAAATACCAGAAGCAGTTTGTTTTAATTATTCTGCATTATTTATAATGAAGGAGAAAATATCACATCCTTGATGATGGTATTCGTCCTACATAGTAGAGATAGTCAACGTGCCAATATTTCTGTCAAAGAGAATTTCGCCTCCATGAATATATGAAGATTTGTTTTTGTTCAGATGGCGGTTCTTTGTTTTAAGGATTCTTCAGCTGGTTATTACTGATGTCAGGGCTGTAACACCTCACAGTGAGAGGCTGATCACACAATGAAGTCGCTGTGGAAAGCGGCTACAGCCTAGATATTATTTATGAGGTTTGGTGCGGTGCATGAAATTCTACTGTATGTTGTTCTGATACTCAGGTCTGTCTGCGCAATTCTCTGCCCATCTATCCAGTACTTGTTAACAGTGAGGCTGCCTGCCGCAGGTCCTACCAGCAATCCTATTGTGCGTGTGTGTAGGATGGTTTCTGCTACTGTGTATGTTTTCCTTTCTTTTCTTATTGCAAAATGACACAAGACAGAGAGGAGGATTGGCAATTACTGAGACTGAATCAAAGACAAGAGTTTAGGCAGGCAGACAGACAGACAAAGAAATGCTGAGATAGATTACCACAGAAAGACAGACGGACAGACAGGTGAGTATAGCAACCACTGTATGGCTGTGTTTGCACCACTGCTCCTCTGATCTAAATTTCATGAGACTATTAAGAACAGGGAGGGATGGGGAAATTGCGCTCGCTCCCTCTACCGCTCTCCTGCTACGCCCCCGACTGCTCTCCTCCTCGCTGTCAAATAACGAAGAAGAGAAGGGCAGCGCGAGTGAGAGTGGCGGCCATGCTCGTCTCTCCAGTACAATGGGCTTGTGGGGTTGAGGGCTGAAATGAATAGCTGATGTCTGTAATGAGTTTGCGTGTCGCCATAATCTCCATTCCTAAGGCAGTAGCTGCACTGTATACTTAACAGTAGATCGGTTTTGGTAGAAGAGTAAATATGGCTTTCTAATGGGCCCTCATCATCATTTTTTTTTCTCCCAAGACCATGTTTTTCTTTTTCTTTTTTCTTTTTTAAGAGAGAGAGAACCATTTTCGGATGCCCATAAGTCGCGCTGCCTGACAGGGTCGTGCTGGTGGTGGTGGTGGTGGATTGGTGTCGACAGAGATTGTATACATGATTCAGGTTCATTGGGGTGCGGGATCTCGTTTGGTTGTCATAGCAACCCAGTCATTGCCCCCCCCCCCACCATCTCCTATCACTTAAATTCATGCATTCATTTCATTTATTTCTTCTTTTTATTTCCAGTAGAAAACCAGTGTGGGATATATGTGAGTGGAGCTGCAGTTCAGCGTCCATTTCTATCCGACTGGATATGTAAGCGCACACAAATGTGGCCAGTCAGTAGTGCCATGTAACTGCTTACCAGTCATGCCAGTCGTGCTAATGGTTCCAATGTTTTTCCCCCCCCCTTTTTTTTTTTTTTAAGCTGAAAACAAAGCTGAATCGGTTGAGCGGTTCACTTTGTTGTACAGTTATACGCATTTAATCACTAGCTAAACATTGGCTCATTTGAGAACAGAGAACAGATGTTGTTGCTGCAGACTCGGAAGCAACATCCTTAAATACACCACTGGTGTATTTAAAAGCATGTAGATTTAGCGAAGTGCCGTGTGTGTATTTGAATGTCTGCATGCTGTTGAGTGCCGTAACAATCCATAGTTGTTTTCTCTCACTGTGCTCAATGTTGTCTTCTGTCTTGTGTGTTCTTTGTTTGTCCTTGACAAGCAGCAGTGTGTATTTGTCTGAGGGCACTCTGTGGTGCAGTGGTGTTCATTTCATATCACACGGATGTCTATTAGGAAAGAAATTTGGGACAAAATGTAATAAAGGATGTCTTTATTGACATTTGTGCAGTTGTTCAAATACACCATCTTTGGGCAAATTTAAAGATGAATTGTTAGTGATTTGTCAAAAACAAACAAAACAAAAACATTTTCTAGTTTGACCTTTTCAATGTCAACTAAATACCTTTTGATGTGTATGACATTTTGTGGACTAGATGATTAAAACATGTATTTAAATGAATAATGAAAATAATTGTATGTTGCAACACAATACACAATTATGAGTTTTTGCATCTGTGCCCATACATATATGTTAATAGCTTTTTTAATTTTTATATTTTTAGATGGAAGATGGCCAGACACTGTTTGACTACAACGTGGGTCTCAACGACATCGTCCAGCTGCTGATTCGCTCACAGACTGATCCTCCAGACAGCCCCACCAACAAGGACTCCTCCGGTGTTGCCTGTAGTTCAGCTCCTCCCCCTGACCCCAGATCGGACAGCCACAACTCCCCAGCTCCTGGTTCCCCTGCTGCTATGGAAACCTCCACCAATATAGACAATGACAGCAGCAGCGTCACTACCAGCACTGTTAATGAAACCAAGCCGGACACCAGCGCTACCAGTAACTCAGCCAGTACCAAAAATGGGTTCAAGTCCTCCAGTCCGGCACGGGACACCCAGCCCCCCACATCCAGCAGAAACACACTAGCCGACCCAGGAATTGGTGTGTATAAGGTAAGGTTCAGTTCCATTTAGTGTAGCAGAACCTTTCCAGGGAGCCAGCATGCACAATGGCAGCACCCTGACTCTGTTTGACATGAATGTACCGGAACCTTTATTAGTATCATTGGTAACATCTGTGTTTACCCTACTATTTCACGTCAAAATGGCCGCTGTCAAAAAGATGCAAGAATTTGCATGAAACTGACTGGTCTGTCTCATAATAAATTACAGAGCATTTAATACACGCCAAGCCACTGCCAGAAGTTCTTGGGCAGGGCACTCTTACTCGTATGGATGTCAAATTAAATTATGAACCAAATGTATTTTGTGCTCCACTGCTATTGAAACTTCTAAACCACCTTGTAAATATAAAGTAAATTCTGTATTAAATGTTGAGGTAATTTGACATAATTTAGTTTGAATGAAACAAGGAGCGTGCATGCTTCTGCAGGTTTTGTATTTTAATATGCCTTGCTAGAGTTGTATTTAATACTATAGCAGTGTGTGCTATTTTATTGCCCTGTGCTGTAGTACCTCACACTGCTTAGATACAGTATTCCAGCCAAAACGTCCCAAGCCTCTTTGTATTTATGTGTCCTTGTGTGAGAGTGCATGTGTTGGTGCCAAATGTATCTGTCCATTCTCACTATTTCAGTGCTCCGTCTTTAGGTCTGATGCCCTGAATGCTTTTAATTTATTAGGACTAATGACATGCACACACGCATGTAGCTGACCTTGCCAGGGACGCACATGCCAAACCACACATAAGAAACGGGTCATTACAACGCTGTCACTAACCAACTTACAGATTATAAATAGACTACAGTCAAAACCCGTACGTTGGTGAGTCCACTACTGTACTACTGTACTACTGAGCTTTGCTGGCTGGCTGACCCACATGTCTGAGAATTATTTGTGTGGGACTGGACTCATTTTGATGCCAAAAGTCAAAACCAGCATGCAGGAAGATCAATATTGAAACTAAGTTGTGGAGTGTTAAATTATACTGAAGCCCCTGAATATTAAGGTCACATGCCTTTACAGGCTTAAAGCATTCACTGCAGACTATGTGCTGTGGTTTTCCCAAATGACACACATCCAATCAGTGCCATGGATGAAATGAAGTCAAACATCTGATGATGTGATGGATTTCTGAAAGTTGATTTTCATATTGGACTGACTACCCAGGGTAGGAAGAACATTTAAAAAAAAATCTGATACTCTATCTAATGCTTTCATTAAATGCATATGATTCCTTTGTCTTTTTAAACAACATACAGATGGGATCAAAAGAGACCAGGTGTTATTTTTGTCTTTGTGTCTCCTCAGATTAACGAACTGGTGGACTGCAGAGACGTCAGCATCGGTGCCTGGTTTGAGGCCTGCATTGAAAATGTGACACGCGCTCCCAAAGGACAGATAACGCCCACCAAGGGCAAGGTGGGCCGGCCCCCAAAAAGGACTAATGGAAAGCTGGAGGCCGAGCAGGGACAGACCCACGGCCTGGGCCAAACCACAGACAGTAACAGGAATAATGTTGTGTTAAACTCAGAGAGTAATGGAGCCTCAACCTCTCAGACAGACTCTACAGCAGAGAGCAAGGAGAGAGAAGAGGACGTAATTTACCACATTAAATATGACGAGTAAGTGACGGCTCATTTTTCTGGGGGAGTGTTCCTGCTGCAACTGAACTGATTTTGGTTGCAGTGATAACAAACACATCACCACAGGCTTTCATAAAGTGAAGGTCTGAATTTTGCATTTCAGCAGACATCTGCACTGTGTCAGTGCGGCAGGCATTTTTGGTCTTGGGAACAGAAATCGTTCTAGAAATGTAAAATGCTGTTTCAGATTGGAATTTGCAGTGCTGTGGCTCAGATAAGATAGTGCGAGTGTGTGCCTTCTTCTTCGCATGTGCTGTGTTACAGCACAGCAGAAAATGGGGTTCTTGCTAATTATGTGAAAAATATATTTGCTCATGCTGCTGTTGTGTGGCACTTAAGATAAAAAATGTCCACCAAACATAAATACAGGGTGTGTGTATGATACTAGCGGCTGCGAGCATCCGTAACATGGGTTCGGCGTGTTGGGAATTGTAGCCTCTGCCTTCTCCTGGCAGTCCAGGGGACAGAGAGAGAGGGGGGTTTGTGTAGTTGATGCTACAATTTGGACTCCATCTCTTGCGCTCTCCTTTTCCAGCAAATTCATTCAGAAGCCCACGTTTCCATGGTAACTCATGAGTTCTCCGGAGCATTACTTCTTTGCTTGCCTCCTTCAGCTTTGTCTGTAATTGCTGTGAACATGCCACCGGTGAGACGTAGCCTCCTCGCTGCGTCTATCGTAGTGTGTGCCTGTGCATGTGTGCCTTTCTGTCACGGGATGTTATACCAGAGAAACTCCCATCAAGGGTTGTTGAGCAGTAAATGTATGTTTTCTTTTAGGCAGACATTCCCATTTGACATTCTGCAATCTTCCAAATCCCAGGTATTCTGCTTTTATTTGTTTCATCATTTGCAACGGGACAGGAGTGTTCCTGCAGGGGCAATCCAATAATACACACCATATTGTGCCCCCCCCTTTAATGGTTTTAATTATTTATCTGTTTGTTTTCGCCTTATATTTCTCATTTGGTTTATTAGATAGTTGACAGTCAAGAGAGGCAGAGAAGGGAGCGAAAAAGGAGACATGAATGACAACAAAGGTCCCATTTTTAAACCCAGGATGTCACAGTAATGTGTGATTTGCGTCTACACCAACTGAGTCACGAATACAACTCCCAATTTTGTGTGCTGCTGAGAACCCACAGCTACAAATGCAAAAGATCTAAATTATCAGCTTTGCCTATTGCTAAATGCGAAGTATTCCTTTCTGCCCTGAGCGCCATTCCAGGTTTCTTCCATCATTTTGTTTGCCAGAGAAAAGTGGAGGGTGGGTAAGATTGCTCCGCCTTCCCACGCACACAGACACACACACACACACACACACACGCACATGCACGCTCTCCCCTTAAACACCTGCCCGCATAGTCTGAGAAAGAAAAACCAGCCCTGCAAAATGAACTGCCATGTTTTTGCATGAAGCCGTTCTGAACTGAGCATTTCTACAGAATGTAATGAGCCACAAAATCAAAGGGATATGTTGGGAGAATCTCCCCTCTGCTGCTCCCAGGAACCGAGGTGTTGTGTATGTGTGTCGCTCCATAACAACACAGACACAGATATGGTTTTGTGGTTAAATCTTGGCTGAGCTCAGCTAATGTTTAAGTCTCTCTTTGGAGAGAGTAACAAATATAGACATAAAATGGGCAAACAATTTATGTTCACGTAGCTTTTAAAGTAGACCATTATATTTGTTATATGCAAATCAATCAAGGCATCCTTTTATTGGTACCTTAATGTTGTCATTTTAACCACCTCTTACACACTGGCTCTTTTAAATATGATGCAAATAATTAAACAGCTGGAGTTTTCCGAATCTACTGTATTGGAAGCATTGTCCCCACATGGAAGGCAATTTTACATGTCACAACAGGAAAAGCTCAGGTGTAAATACTAAAATTGATCATGGCTGAATTAATTCCATTTAGCTGTTTCAGTTTCATGGTCCTGGTATTGTGAATGCTGGCTGACTGTCACACTGTCATGGCTTACTGGGAGACTTGAATATAATGGAGCCATTGTTAAGGTTATTAGTAACACCTGTGCTTTTCCTACAATGACAAGTCAGAATGTCCGTGGTGTGAAAGGTCTGTTGCCATCCGCAGCTCTGCACCTCGTGAGAAATCAAGCTTCTTTTTAATCAGGCTCGATATGAAGCTGTTTAAACTAAAAATGTGTGTTTTGGGAAGGTTTTGCTTAAAAGAGAGGCTTAGCCGCTTCTTAAATGGGCTCTGTCTATTAATTAGCAGGGATCAACATATGCAATGGAAGAGATCTTATAGTGTCTTTAGCTGCGGCAGTTGGCCTGCCATTATCTGAGCGCGGCTGCTACCTGCCGACGAAAGAGTTTTATTTGCTGCAGTTTCTAATTTAGTAAGTGACAATGAACTGAGGATGAGATAAAGTGTAATTCCAGTTTCAGTTTAGTTTCTCTTTCTCACTCATCCACTCTCTTATTTCCTTTTGAAAGCCATTGCTTGATTGTGGTACTGGAATACTAGATAGCAGACATCGGCTTATTACAGTTACATTGGTATGAGCATTTATGTTGATAATATGCTGTTTACTATACTACATTTAGAGACTGTAATCTTTGACATTGTGCTTTATAGGCCCTTTTCTACAGAGGACATTTTGACCTGTCACACTATTAAAAACACAGGTGTAATTATTGAAATTGATGGTGGTTGGATTGCATTTCGCTGTTTTCTGTTGCATGCTGCAGGCTCAGCCATCATTAATGTTCTCAGTAACACCTGTGCTTTTTTGTAATGTGAGAGGTCATGTCTGCTGTGAAAAATACCTATTGGTCGCCTGCGTAAGACCCGTCCTCGGTACATGCATATCTTTGTCACAACTGTATGACCACTATAGCGTTTATAACATCTTTTAAATGCTATATTTTTGTTTGTAGGAAAACAAAACCACCATCCATTATCTGTACCTGCTTATCCTGTGCACGATTGCAGGATTTAGTAGAAATTTGGCACGTCAGTGTGTTGCTTTATGTAATGCCTTTCGCTTACATGGATTTCGGAGAATTGGAGATTGGAGTGCGTTGGAGAGAGATCTCTGCTGTCACGTTAGAATAACAGGATCCAGGTTGAAAATCATCAAATTGGCCCTTTTAATACCTGAAGTTGCCTTTTAATGTCTTTGCCATGACTGAACTTTAAAATTTCTAATTTCCAGATTAAAGAAATTTAGATACATATTTTTTTTTTTTCACATTTTGGCCTCAATTACTAACAAAGCCAAGGTTGAGAGAGACTGCAGTCACTTTCCCTCACTACTGTGAAGCAATTATATGTAGCTTGTTTAGTGTCAGAGTGAGTTCTGACTCGGCTGCTTATCAGCAAATTGAGGATTTCTCATTTTCTCTGTTGCCTTTCTCCCTCTTACAGGGACTTCAGCTTAGCACACAAAGCACTAATGATGGTTCATAACAGAGGAGACTGTAAGAGCCTTTCTATTGATAAGTCATGTTGTCTCAATTTCACAACTGATTAAATACGTTTCTTCATTTTGTTTAGGCACGCTATGCATTGATAAGAGTGTTGACACAATTTCGGGTTCTTGTTTACCTCATTTAAGTCTTTCTTTCTTCTTCCCACAACTCAAGGGAAAGTTACATTTTACACTTAATACCAGGCTTTGAGTCTAGCCGCTGTGAGAGCAAAGGCGTAGTCTGTTTAACTGTGCAGAGATTTGATGCTGCAAATGTTAGATTTCAAACCTTCAGATTTACAGTTCAGGTTCTTTTACAGCGTGTTATACCGGCAGGTGGAATAACGCAGCAGTGTTTCAGTTGAAATCACTGTATTGTGTTTCCAAAGTAGCCATTCATGTTTACGTGAAGGAGCCTATGATATTTGTTTTACTTGTGAAGTGTATAGTACAGGTTTAGAAGTTTGGATCAAGTTATTTGAGAACTGCTTACATTTTGTATGGATGCCTCTAAAGATGTTTAGCTGCAGATAAACATGTCATTGTACTGCACATTGTAAGTGCTCAGGGGATTTGCCACATAAATACCCTCATTAGAGGGTAGAGAGAGTACATGCTTAAACATCTGCCATAAGATGACAACTACTGGTCATACCAAACCAGGTAAAGTTGTAGCATCAAAACCTCGTAAGTGTATTTAATTGTGCAAGGGGGCATTTTATTGCTTGCTTTAAATCCGTAAGTGGAGTAACGTGGCATTTCTTTATTAAAGGTTACATAGTCACGCTTTGACATCTTAAAATTGTCCAGAAAAGGTTTTTTCTTGTTTTCGTTTGAATGTTTTTGGAAGAGCTTGAAAGCAAATTCTTTAAATAAATCTTTAGAGAGTAGCTTCCATTAACCATGGGCAGCTGCATGAAGTACTGACTTCAGGCCTCATTAGTGTTGTGTGCAGAAATCTTGTTTTCTGGCCAAATCTGAATTGTCATAGTTTTTAAGTCTGTTTTTAGATGGGTCAAATTGAAGAATCCGAGGTAATAACATCATCAATAATTGTATATTAATACAACATACATGCATGTTTTGTCAGATGCCAGAAAAAAAACAGACAGAACTAGCACAGGCTTTGTAATGCATGTATCACATTGCATGGCCAGTAAATTGATCTGAGAATGTGAACAGTCACCTTTCTCCATTAAGATGATTGTAGTTCATCCATTATTTTATTCTGTTGCCTTTTAATGTTTATGAAAGGAATCCTATTCTAGTCCTTTAGTCAGTGAAGGTCAGTGTTTCTGTTCACACTGACAAAATGTAATTGTCTTTTTTTTATATCACATCAGGCTTAGTAAGATATTTCAGCTAGCAATATAATAATTTCATATTGTTATATTTTTTTCTGGTGCTTCTGTAGGTGAATGTTCATGCGTCTAAAGTAGTGTACATAACAGTACATAGAGCGTGAGCTTGTGTGGTCTTATACTCGGGTGCTTCTGCTCCCCTTGTGTTGCTCCGTGTTCCCCTTCTGTTCATGCTGAGTCCCATTGTGCTGCTAGGTTGATACTCCCCTCCTGTGTGTGTGTGTATGCATGTGCATTTTGGTGTGTGTCTGTGTGTGTTTGTGTTGCTAGTATTCACCCCCCTCACCCTACCCTACCCAAAACCTCAGTAATCCCTTGGGCCTAAAAAAGGAAATCCCTCCACTGTGCCCTGGCCTCCTCTTCCTGGGAGTACGCGCTAGTTGTGTGCTACAACTCTTACAGTCTGCCTCTGTAGACACTTCAGTCAATTTACAATGGCTTAAAATATGCAGCGTAGTCTTCTTAGTAATAAAGTAAAGTGTACGTATTGCATACTCTGAAATCTTAAAATGTCGGATATAAGTCATTTTAGCCTGAGCTCAACGGGCCATTGTTGGTTCTGTGTCAGTGCAGATTGTCTTGAGAAAGTACTCAGTTTAGGCTCCACTTTTCCTCAAAAACACACACATACACTGCTCGCTCATGCACACAATTCTCTACTTCCCCCTTCACCTCCCACTGTGTAAGTAGACCCGAGTATGCATGCTGTTGTGCAGTTAAACTTCAGTGTTAACACATTGTTCTTCTGTAAGCGTAATTCCAGCTATTGGCAAGCAAGCAAGCTGTCAATTTATCTCTTGAGTTTGGCCTGATCCTTACAGTTAATGATGATTGGCAGGCAGGAGACCTGCACAGTTAACCTCAATACCTCCACTCCAAGTTTGCTAGACAAAAAGACATTTCACACTTCTGCAGAGCTTTTTTTGGAAAAGGAGGAACATTTTTAATTGTTAAGTTAAGTTTCCCTTTCTTGCCATTAGTCAGATAATAGATGTGTTCGATGAGAAGGCTGATACCATTGTCTGTACGGTAAATATGAAGCTGCAGCTGCTTAGCTTAGCTTAGCTTAGCTTAGCTTAGCTTAGCTTAGCACAAAGACTTGAAAAAAGGGGAAAACTGCCGGCTTGGCTCTAAATGTTACAAAATGTGCCTGCTAATGCCTCTAATGGTCGCTCGTTTGTTTAATACGTCCAAAAAAATGTAAAAACAACATGTTGTGGTTTTACGGGCAGTTACGTGTCAGACTTTTGGTTGGTCAGGTGGAGTAACTGTCTTTGGTTTCGTCTCGCTGGTTGCCTGGTGGCCTGACCATGACGTCAAGAGGATAAAACTAGCATTGTTTTTAGAAAGTAAATGAGCAGGTTTGCCAAACTATTTCTTTAAAAGACCTGTCAAACTGTCTGTGTGAGGTAACAGGGTTTTTGTGGTAGTGTTTCTCCTTTGCAAATAAACTGTTAAAACATATAAGTGTTTTAGAAGTGAAACTGAAACTAGAGCTGGGCAATATGGCCTAAAAATAAAATCTCAGATTTTTTCACACCACATCGGATTTATGATTTTAATCTACTAAAGACACCTGTTTTATAACATCCGCAGTTGTATTTATTTATATATGTGTATATGTGTGTGTATATATATATATATATATATATATACACATATGTGTGTATATATGTATGTGTATATGTGTA